TTAGTCAGTATCGAAGTATTGTTGATGGTTCGTAAAGTAGATATTGGAGTTTGAGTAAACTTTGCAAGAATATAGAGTATGTAACAGTAGCAAACTTAAAATTTTGCAAGTACTTAGCCGAAACCTAGATGTAAGTTACCAAAAATCTAGGTGATATATAGACTGCTCTAATAGGTTACCACAAGGATAAAGTAATTCTAAAGGGCCTTAGTGGCAGTTTCTCTTTGAAGAGAATATCTGACGGTACTAAGTTGATCAGATAATTTAATTAGATAACTCAAGTAATAGTGAATTATAAGTATAGCATCTAGTATAGTACTTAGTAACAGGAAATTACTTAATTAGGCACTCAAAAGGTACAGATATGGCTAGAATATATTCTTGTTAATATAACAAAATCAGGAATAGCCCCTGTGGCTACTTTGGCATTTGATCTAAAGTTTAATAAAATGTGCCAGACCCCAAAGTGATCACCTTAATATTTAAAAAATAAAATAAAATTTAATATACAACATGTTATATACTTCTAAATAACGATAATATTTGATTTAAAAAAAATAATTCGTATCTTACCAAAAAAAATTTAACTTATACTCCATATTAGCAGAACATTAGTCAAATTTTTTTGGTAAAATACAAATTGACTATAATATAGAATCACGCTTTAGTATTAATAACAACAATATTGTTGTTGATTCATTTATATTAAAAAAACTTATAAGTGAATTGATTAGAGCAGTATCATTTATCATCTGATTTTTTTTTATCAGAAGCTTACTCCCTCCCTTCCTCTTACTATATAATTTGATCAGGTCCTTATATATAAATTTAAAATTTTTACACCCCCTTCTTCCCTAAAAAATCATCCGATTTTTGTTATGTCTCTTACTGATGCTTTTGAAATCTTAAAAGTTAATGTAATATATAATAAAAATACTACAAATTTTTTACAGCTCAATGATAATATTATCTATATAGAATCCAAAAATGAAAGCTCAAATCAGGAACTCATTTAGTGTTATTACTACTTTGAGGATAGTTTATCAATATGCATAAATTATTATAAAAATTTGAAATATAGAGACTTAGCATCTCAAGCATTAGTTAATAAAGAAGTTTAAGAACAAATTGATGAAAAATTTCTAATGATACTCTTTGTAAAAGAACTGAAAAGGTGCAGAAAATATATGTTTTTTTTAATAGTATTTTTAAAAATAGGAGAAAAAATGATAGTTCATCTTAAAACATTTTTAATATCATCTATATCAAAATTAAGTGGAAAAAAATTGAATATATAATAGCCAGAATAATTTATTCTTATCAATAACAATGTATTTTAGTATCACATGATTATTGTACCTGTAAACTTGAGTTCAAATAAATCAAAAGCAATATTATTATAAGTGAATATTAGTAATAGAGATAATGATAAAATGAAATAAAATTAAAATTTGAGTTACGAGTAAAATTTTTGAGTTTACTTTGTATAATTTGTTTGTATATAAAAGGGTCACAACTACAAAGTATCACTAATCACAGGTTCATATAATAAAAAAAGATAGTTTTATTATAAACCCAGGTTTTATATTAATAATCTAAACCTCAAGGAGGTCTATATTAAGACAAATAATCTAATCATAGACCCTATAATCAACCAATTATAGTGACCTAGTGATCAACAAATAAAATCGATTATACAAATAATTGTATTAAAATTTTTAATGCAATGTTGATCGAAGACATCCTAATATCAACTCAAACAAATTTGATTAAAATTTTTTTATTTAAATTCTACAGAACTGTAGAACTCTATTAAAAAAATTTTCATCAAATTTGGTCAAATAAGTACCAAGATATCTTCAATCAAAGTTTAAGAATTTTTAAAATATCAATTATGTATAAACTGCACTAAAACTTTTAACATGACTTTGATCAAAGATATCTTGATATCAACTTGACTAAATTTGATAAAATTTTTTAATAGAATTTTACAAAACTGTAGAATTCAAATAAAAAAATTTTCATCAAATTTGATCAAATGGGTGTCAAGATATCTTTGATCAAAGTATTAGAGAATTTCTAAACGCCTATTATATAGAAACTGCGCCAAAATTTTTAAACCAATTTTGATCAAAGATATCTCGGCATCTACTTGATTAAATTTGATAAAATTTTTTTTATTTGAATTCTACAGAACTGTAGAATTTGAATAAAAAAATTTTCATCAAATTTGATCAAGTAAATACCGAGATATCTTCAATCAATGTTTTAAAGAATTTTAAATGCCTATTATATAAACTGCATCAAAATTTTTAGACTAACCTTGATCAAAGATATCTTGGTATCCACTTAATCAAATTTGATGAAAATTTTTTTATTCGAATTCTACAGTTCTGTAGAATTTGAATAAAAAACTTTTCATTGAATTTGGTTAAGTGGATGCTGAGATATCTTTGATTAAAGTTTTAGAGAATTTCTAAATACCTATTATATAGAAATTGCATTAAATTTTTAAACCAACTTTGATTAAAGATATCTCAGCACTCACTTGATCAAATTCGATAAAATTTTTTTTATTTGAATTCTACAGTTCTGTAAAATTCAAATAAAAAAAATTTCATCGAATTTGGTCAAGTGGGTGCCAAGATATCTTTGATCAAAGTTTTAGAGAATTTCTAAATGCCTATTAGATATAAAAATTGTGCCAAAATTTTTAAACCAACTTTAATTAAAGATATCTTGGCACCCACTTGATCAAATTTGATAAAATTTTTTTATTCAAATTCTACAGAACTGTAGAATTCGAATAAAAAAAAATTTCATCGAATTTAATCGAGTGGGTGCCAAGATATCTTTAATTAAAGTTTTTAGAGAATTTCTAAACACCTATTAGATAGAAACTGTGCCAAAATTTTTAAACCAACTTTGATCAAAGATATCTCAGCATTCACTTGATCAAATTTGATAAAAATTTTTTTATTTGAATTCTACAGTTCTGTAGAATTCGAATAAAAAATTTTTATCGAATTTGGTCAAGTGGGTGCCGAGATATCTTTGATTAAAGTTTTAGAGAATTTCTAAACACCTATTATATAGAAACTGTGCCAAAATTTTTAAACCAACTTTGATCGAAGATATCTTGACACCCACTTGATCAAATTTGATGAAAATTTTTTTATTCAAATTTTACAGTTCTGTAGAATTCAAATAAAAATTTTTCATCGAATTTGGCCAAGTGGGTGCTAAGATATCTTTGATCAAAATTTTAGAAAATTTCTAAATACTTATTACATAGAAACTGTGCCAAAATTTTTAAATCAACTTTGATTGAAAATATCTCAGCACCCACTAAATCATATTCGATGAAAATTTTTTTATTCAAATTCTAAAGTTTTGTAGAATTTGAATAAAAAATTTTTATAGAATTTGAGCAAGTAGATGTCAAGATATTTTCAATATTCAACATTTTCATATAATATACTTTTGCATGATCATGCATACTCATATGATTAGTTATTTCTTTTTTTAAAAAACTTAATTTATTTAAAAAAATATATATACAAGAAATGAAATAAAAGACTATATAACTATCTATCTACATAACAATCTCAACAAAAACAAGCTACGTGATCTATAATGAAAGTAATAACACTAGCAGCTCTAATAACTTTGATAAATTCAAGCTTAGAAGAAGAAGAATATTAATAAATGCCAAAAAAAATAATAATAACAAAATAAACAAAAACTTTTTTAAAAAAAAGAAAGTTTAACAACAAATTGTTATAAGAGTAGAGAAAGTCTATGAAAAAGTTCAAGCAATTTTGAAAGATTAGTAAAAGTTTGCAAAAAAAAAAAAAAAAAACTTAAAAATACTTACCAATAGAGCCTATAAGGATTAAAAAAAACTCGAAAAACATCAAAAATCTACAAGAGGGTTTACCAAACACTGGAAGTCCACAGTAAAGTTCAACAAAATATGAAAGATTTAAAAAGTTTAAAAAACACTAAAAGACTCAAAAAAGTTTATCAGAAAAAGCAAAAAAAAAGTTCATAAGAACATTCACTAAGCAATTTCAAAAGATTAACAAAAGTCGCAAAAAAAAAAAAATAAAAAACTATTGAAAGTACTTACCAATAGAGCTCCAAAAGATAAAAAAAAAAATTAAAAATTCTGAAAGTCCACAAGAGAGTTTACCAAATGTTGAAAGTCCACAGAAAAGTTCAACAAAATGCTGAAAGACCCAAGAAAGTTTATCAAGAAATAGCTAAAAACTTAAGAAAGTTCACCAAAAAGTGTCAAAAGAACAGACAAAAATTCATCAACAAATTTTCATAAGAGTGAAAGAAAGTCTATAAAAAAGTTCAAGTGATTTCGAAAGATTAGCAAAAGTTCGCAAAAAAAAAAAAACTTAAAAATACTTACCAATAGAGCTCTGAAGGATCAAAAAAAAAACAAAAAATACTGACAGTTCATAAGAGGGTTCACCATATGCTAAAAGTCTATAGAAAAGTTCAACAAAACGCGAAAGACCCAAGAAAGTTTAAGAAATACTAAAAGACTCAAGAAAGTTTACCAGAAAGAGCAGAAAAACATTCTTGAAAAGTTCATCAAGCGATTTCGAAAGATTAGCAAAAGTTTGCAAAAAAAAAAAAACCTATTAAAAGCACTTACTAATTGAGCCCCAAAAGATAAAAAAAAAAATTAAAAAATACTGAAAGTCTACAAGAGGGTTCACCAAATGCCAGAAGTTTACAGAAAAGGTCGAAAGACATAAGAAAGTTTACCAAAAATGCTGAAAGATCTAAGAAAAATCACCAAAAAGCATCAAAAAACTAGAAAAAAGTTCATCAACAAATTATTATAAAAGCAGAAAAAAGTCTATAAAAAAGTTTAAGCAATTTTAAAAGATCAGTAAAAGTTTGCAAAAAAAAAATAAATAAATAAATAAAAGTATATACCAATAGAGCTCTGAAAGATCAAAGAAAACTCAAAAAATGCTGACAGCCCACAAGAGGGTTCACCAAATGCTAAAAGTCTACAGGAAAGTTCAACAAAATGCGAAAGATCCAAGAAAATTTACTAAGAAATGCCAAAAGATTCAAGAAAGCCATGAAAAAGTTTACCAAATGATTTTATAAAAGTTCGCAAAAAAAATATATTAAAAGTACTTATTAATAAAGCCCCAAAAGATCAAAAAAAAAATCGAAAAATACTGAAAGTCTACAAGAGGGTTTACCAAATGCTAGAAGTCTACAGGAAAGTTTAACAAAATGCCAAAAGATCCAAGAAAGGCCATGAAAAAAAACACCTGTTAAAGTACTTACAATAAGGCCTCAAAAGATCAAAAATGTTGAAAAGGAAAGAAAAAAAAACATTACTAAAGAATGATATAAAACACTTCAAAAGAAGCAGGTTCAAAAAAAAAGTGAAAAGCGTTAGTATTGTTAAAATAACAAAATAATAGCAAACATAAACAAAAAAAAATATAGAAAAAAAAATAGTATATATTCACCAGCAGAGGATGAACCAACTCCTGATTCATATCGGTATGCTGGTAGGAGATGCCTATAATTTTCTAAATTAAAAAGCGAAAAAAAAATAAAAAAACAAATAAAAAAAAAACAAAAAAAAAACAGATCAATAGAAAAATGAAAAACAAAAAGAAAAACAATTTAGATCTAATCGATTAATTAAGATTGTCAAGGTTATGGGTCTAAGCAGAGATTTGTTTCAATTTTTAACAGCTGCCTTACTTTGTTTAGTGCATCGAAAGTGCATCAAGAGTGCATCAAGTGTAATCCAGGTTTGCATAATGAATACAAAGTAAAATTTCCAATTATATTATATAATTAGAAATTTTACTTTGTATTCAGTACAGGAAGAAGCAAATCTGGATTACATTCGACGCATTTTTGATGTACTTTCAATATACTAAACAACTATTAAAAAATTGAAAAAAATCTCTACTACAGGTCTATGATTAGATTATTTTGGTTTAATATAGACCTCTTTTAGGTCTAGATTATTAACATAATACCCAGATTTATGATAAAGTTATCTATAAAAAATTAGCCACATATATTTATTTTTTTTTATTAATATAATAATGATAAAAAAACATAATATATATACAAATAAAAAAAGCTAGACTTAAGTTCAGAAAGTGGTATATCTTTAGAGAGTGGAAGCATGGGTATAAGGTTTGTAATGAATGCAATCATTATTCATATCTATATTGTAAAACATGCAAAAAAGTAGCAGTTAGCATATATAAGCAATGCGAATATAAAAATTCTCTAAAAAGCAAAGCCTCATCTGTTATATCCTCAAATAATTAAATAATAATACATATATGCCTCATTTGTTAAATCTTAGCTCTAAGTATTTTATTCATCTGTCAGTTAAACATTGACCTAATATATTCTTTGTATTCATATTTTTGTTTATAATACAGGCATTTGTACAAAATTCTATTTTAATTAAAATAAATTTATAGCTTTTGATTATGCAGAAATTATAATGGAGAATAGCAATATATCAGATAAAATACTGAAATATACTTTATTTAGAGTTGTGAACAGTGTTATAAATTCAAAAAATTTTTATTGGCACAAACACAAAAAAAAATATACACAAAAAAAGAAATCTATACGTACTTTATATATACAGAGAGCGCTGATATATGCGAAATTTAAATCTATGTGTGCTGCACCTATTGCGTGGATCTAATTTACATCACTGGTTGTGAATAGACAATAGACAAGCCAATAGACTCAACAGACAGTTTAATGGTCCAATGATGTTTAATTAAGTTATTAGACAAAAAACAAGTTGCTATATAATTTAAAACAATCTGATTGGTTAATTTTAGATGCTAATATAAAAAAAACAATTGTAGAATTTCTAATAGACTATTAGACAATTAGACAATTTTTTTGATTAGACTATATCTATTCATATCTTTGCTCCATTATTACTGTATTAACATTAACTAAGTAAAAAGAAATAATAGCACTTTGTGCCTAGGACTTTTGTTTTATAAAATAAAAAATATTGCTAAAATAAATTGTTATTTTTATTTTTTATAAAGCTGACCCTAATGGCTATTTTCATATATTTAATTATGTTTATTTTTAGAGTTAAACAGGTTGGCCTTTTCAAAGTGCCAGTAATATAAGATTAATTAGTGTAATTTATTAGTTTTCTTCTAGCTGCATATTTTTTTTAGATATTAATTGTTTCATAATTCAATATTGCAATATGTATTATATACTGTAGCTGCTATTAGCAAAAAATATATATAAAATATTGCATAAGAATTTGCAATACCGAAATATTTCAAAATTATTATAATTGTCACAAAATATTTGAAATAAATAATTTTGAAAAATTTTGCAAAAATTTCGAAATATTGCGAAATATTTTGCAAAAATTTTAATAATATTAACAATTGAAAAATTTTAAAATATTTCAAAATACTTTGAAATTATGCAAAATATTGCAAAAAATATAAAATAATGATTTGCAAAATATTATGCAATATTGCGAAAAAATATGCAAAAACTCAAAACAATGCAAATAAAAAAAAATAAATTATTATATTTTTTATTAATAAAAACAATAAAATAATACTTTTATTTAAATTTTTTTATTTTTTATTTTATTTTATTTTTTTTTAACTAACTAGCCTCCTCAGAGCTAAAGTTTTTATTCAAGTATTGTTGAGTTTGGAGACTCACAGCTTAACACCTCATGGAAATCTCATATATTAAAGAGAGTATATTCTAGTCATACCTGTACCTTTTGAGCATCTAATTAAGTAGTTTGCCTATTATTAGACTCTATACTAGGTGCTATACCTGTAACCCAACTATGAGATTACTTATTTAAACCCTCTATAATGCAACTCTACTTATATCACCGGTACATCCCCATTACATTAGTCAGTCAAGAAGTCTCAGATGCTTAACTTATTCTCTATAGAGCTATTTTATCTTTGAAAAATTATCACTAGAGCCACCTGTTACACAAATTTAATATATAGACCTAGTTTTCTTTGGATAGGAACTATCAGATAGATTCTATACCTTTACGGGCAGATCACACTGCCAATCTCTTTTACAGACACATTAGCCAGATAGATTCTAAGCCTTTATAGGCAGGCTGCACTACCTAACTACCTAGCTTTTATAGAGTTTGCCCAAACCCTAGCATCCACTATACAGACCATCTCTGTACTTCTGTTACTCCAAACTACCAATCCAAATGGCCTAGAAGGACTGTAACCTGTCCTTGGTTCCCACAGTTGGGTTCTTTTCCTCCAGTTACTCATCTGGCGGCCTGGTTGGTAAAATACCTTGTTAAGCACTTCGGTCCTGTTTAGTTCTCATTACTTCCAGAGATAATCTTTTATATAGTACTATCAAAGATCTGTGCTACCTCTCTACTCAGGTTTTGCCAAGCAGGCTCCCATATTTCATCAATCTGCTAGATTTATTCAGTAGCTTCACTCAGGTTTCATATAACTCATATATCATACTACATGTTCCACTACCTCCCAATACAAGCTAGTATAATACTGTTACAGATTCTATAACTCAATAGGATACAGTCTTCTAAATGCATTTCTTATAAATTCGAATTTTTGTCATCAGTAGGATTCAAACTCTGGTCCTGCTGCTTGGGATGCAACAATAAAATTTTTTTAATAAAATTCTTCATTTATATAAATTACATATAAAATTTCTACATCCCATGCCTTCTAAACTACTAATTACTAATTATTATTATTACTTCATTTGCTGTCAATTACTATTATATGACTTCATAATCAAAGCCATTCACCCTTTTTGTTATATTTTAAAACCTCCAAGCCTGCTTTGTCATTTTTGATCTTAATTCATATTTCTTAACAAAAACTAAAATAATGTATTAATAAGAAAAAAAAATAAAAATAAACAAAATAAACAAAAAAACCAAAATCAAAAACTGGTATTTATTGCTAAACCAGTTTTAGATTTCTTCTAAGCCCAGATTGTTTTCTCTGAGGTCAGTTATGTTTTCTGGTGAACCTTAAGAAAAGTTAGTAAAAAGAAAAAAAAAATCCAAAAAAAAAAAAAAAGAGAAACCAGAAACTGGTACTTATTGTTAGACTAGTTTCAGGTTTTTTTCAAGACCAAATAATTCTTCCCAACGTCAATTCATGTTTCTTAGCATCTCTGGTGTCAATTTACATTTCCTAGCATTAATTCACGTTTTCAGGCAAAAGCTAGAGAGAATATATTAGTGATAAAAATTGGTGTAAAACCAGAAATCAAAAACTAGTACTTACTAATAGAGAGATCCCAAGTTTCTTTCAGACCCAAATTGCTGTTTTCAGTTTTAATTTATATTTTCTGGCGATCTAAAGAAAGGGTTAGTAAAAGAAAAGACCAAACAAAAAAAAACTAACAAAAAAGAGAAACCAGAAACTGGTACTTATAACTCTTTCTGACAATTACTCATACTAAACTTACGACTAACAAAAACAAAAACTTGTTAGAGAAAAGTAGAAGAGACAACTACAAATAACAGTTTTTACAAAGGTTAAGGCTTTACTTGATTTTCTTCAGACTTCTCTGTATATTTGACATACAAGTTAAAAGTATTCTTGTACAAGATAACTGGCAATAAGATGGTGCTCTTATACAAAAAATTTTAATAGAAGCACTGCTTCTGTCAATGAAGTTAGATAATAGGTAATCTAAAGAAGAATAACAAGTGAGTTTTCAACACACTTTTTACTAAAGTTTAAGGATACCTACAAACCAAAACCCTCTATCAAACTCCACTCTTTGCACTTTTCAAAATTTTCACCAAAAAGTAGAAAAAATAACATACTCACAACAAAAAATCAATATAGTAATAGCTGCTAAAAAAGAAAAATCACATACATGTATATGTGTCTACTTTGAGATAAATAGTGTTAGATAATGTGATAACATTTAAAATATTGCAAAAGATCCGCCAATCTAGTTAGGATAGCACTGAAAGTTTCGACCTTGGAGCTTTACTCCAAGACTGGATGGTTTTTAATATTTTTACATTCTAGATATAGATATAAATAACTAGTATAGAGTTTAGTCTAGTTTATTTGTAGTACTATATAATTTTTACAATTTGGCACTGATTTAATAGTGCTATCTTTGTTTTCTTTTCTTTTGTTATTTTTTTTCAATATTTGTTTTATTTAGTTTTATTAATTTAGGTAGATCAGAACTTGATGCTATAATATTTTCCTATTTTTGTTATGCACTTTGTATTTGTGTTTGTATTTCATTTTGTAAAAAAAAAGTTAATTTGGATATGGTGTGTAGTACTAGCCCATGACCAAAGGATAACCTTTAGTGAATTAAAGGCCTGGAGAGAGGCTTGAAGTCTACTGAGACAAGTCATACCTGGTGAAAGCATGGGTATGTTACTTTACAAATAGATTAGTATAGCTATTATTAGGAAATGTAAATTTCTTAGTATAGTTTAATCTTAAATAAAAAGTGGCAAGACAGCTAAATTATAAAAAAAAAACTGGTACTTATTGCTATACTAGTCTCAGGTTTCTTCCAAGTCCAAATAATTTTTCTCAGTGTTAATTTAAGTTTTCTAACATCAAATTATATTCTCAGATGAAAGCTAAAAAAAAAAAGTATTAGTAATGTGAAAAAAAAAAATTTAAACATAAAGTCAAGAAACTGGAAACTAGTACTTATCAATTAGTGTTGGCCTATAACCTTAAATGATCTATATGATCTTTATAACCTGTTATAGGTCATTTGGTTATAACGAAAATTGATATGACTTATAACCTTTTTTAATATAGTAAGAATCATAGTAAAGATTTTTTTATTAGTACTTAATATGACCAGATGACTATGACCAAAAAGTTATATGATTATATGACCAAAGTTATATAGGAAAAAAAATGGTATGATAAAGTCATCGGCCAATACTGTTACCAATAAACAGTTTTCAAGTTTTTTTTAAGCCTAAATTGCCTTCTCAGCTTCAATTCTTAATTCCCAGTTCAATCACTATTCTATGTGCCATTTCGCTCACACCAATAAAGTACAAATCTGCAAGGCAAAAACATTAGTCATAAGAATAAAAAAAAAATCAAAGAATTGAGACAAGAACACTTGTCTTTTTATGTCAGAGTCACTAGTTTCACTCTACCCAATATCATTTTATTTTCCCTAGTAAAAGTACAAACCTGTAAAAATAAAAAATCATTAGTTACAAATGAGAAAACAAAAAAAACAAGTGACTTACCAAAATTCAGCACTTATTTTTACAGATCCAGTTCCAACCATAATCTCTAATATATGGCATTGTTCCAGAATACATATCATTTCACCAATAATCACTTCACTGACAACTTAGTTCACTGACAATTAATTCATCAACAAGTTCATTTCACCAACAATTAATTCACTGACAAATTCATTTCACCAAGTTTTTTTTATAAATTACACTAACCTTAACTCTAATTTAACGTAACTTTAACGACAATGACTAGAATTACTTTGTCTGTGAAATGAGCTGTTAGTGAATTAATTGTTAGTGAAATGAACTTGTCAGTGAATTAATTGTCAGTGAACTAAGTTGTTGGTAAAGTGATTGTTGGTAAAATGAACACCACCCATTGTTTTATGTTCTGGCAAAGCTTAAATCTATATAAAGAAAAGAAAGTTAGTTTATATCAAAGAAGCAAAAAAAAAGGAACTAATACTAATTTTCAAACCCAGTTTCCAGTTTTAGCCAAGTGATTACTCTATCTAAATCAAGCTAAATATCTTTTTAATTTATATTCAACAAAGCCTATGCTTGTGAAAAAAAAAAGAAGAGTTAGTTAGTTATAATTAAAAAGAAAACTATTCAAAAGAATTATACTTACTGTACTGTACTATTTCTACTAATGTTTGAAGCCTAATCTGAAAATAAAGAAAAAAAATTAGTAAATCAGGATTAAAAAAAAAACAACTAAAAATAGATACATAACAAAAAAAATTTTCAATAAGCGTTGCTACTTGAACAAACTGCTAAACAAAACAAAAATTAGAAGTTAGCACTTATAATGTAAATAAAATAAAAAAAGATGGAAGATCAAATCTTGTAATTAGGGTTCAGAGCACAAGGGCATGAGGCATGCCTATGGGCCCTTGTCATGTGATGTTCAAAGTGATTTTAATTGGCTAATAAGTTTAGGCAAAACTATTATACATAGCAACCGCATAAAATATAAAAAACATCATCAAAAATTTTTCAAAACGTGACCAAAAGCCAATCACAGTTGAAGATCAGGTGTAACGTAATACTAACGTCACATGATCAGAAAAATTAAAAACAAATGTTTTTTGGCTAAAAACTCAAAAATCTACATAAGAAACCATCTTTAGTGCTCTAATAAAAAGTTGCTTTGAACAATTTTACTATATATTTTGTTAACATCAAACTCAAATACAAACGCTGACCCTTATATTAATAAACTTTTAAGAATTTGTTACCGAAAAATTTTTGGTGGTGCTCTTGGGGTAGTTCATAAAATGTCCGTGAACACGTGATTTTAAACCAATCACGACACAGGATCAGGTGTAATGTGAAAATAAAACAAACTGCCGGCTTGCAAAATTTTCTTGGCAAAAGTGAGTAATATACATATAAAGAAAACAGATTTTTGTAAAGAAGCTTGGTAAAACGAAGACTCATATGTAACTATTTCAAAGCATTCAGAATAGAGAAAACTTTAGGCACTTTCATACAATAATGTATTTAAAATGCGCTTGTTTATTAGTAAAATTTATACCCTGGTCACTATATCAAGATCCCAGGATATAGCTATTACATATTATTGATGGGACCAAATTACATTATAATATTAAAATATGTATTTTAGTGAGAACATAATTTTTTTCAGAGGCTATTCCTATTCAAACTAAGCCATTCTCGAACTGGTGTAAAATTATTAGATATTTCCATGCATGACTTTGAATAATCGTGAAGAACATCCACATTGGATTCGAAAATAGCCTGTGTGCGATGACATTAGCATATGTCATACCTTAATTAACTAAAAGCTTATAAGAAAAAAAAATATTACCTTAACTGTGAAAAGAAGATCGATAATACTGACAATGCAAGGAAAGGTCGAATACTCAAAAGGGTAATTAACTGTTAATATCCTTTCAGCAACAAAGGTTTTAGGGGCACCCAAGTTCAATCTAAATAATTCGCCTTTGTCCTCTATATTTTTAATAAAATCTTAGCCAGCAGTATAACAACAGAACAGAAAACGATAGTTAAAAACTTACTATACAACACATATGCTAATACGTAGTATTTCTTTGCAAATTTTATGTCTCCATTTCCATTCCAGAAAGTTTTGCAAATCGAATCTACAGAGTTTCGAAAACATTTTAAAAGATCACCATTATACTTGGGATTTTGGGTCTTTAATGGTGGGCCGATATTCTCAAAAAGTAAAAATTCTTGAGTGATATTTCCATAATTAAAAAGGATACCATCTGCCTTACGTGCAGAGGCGTTACTATCGCGGTAAACTATTTCACGACGCCATTTAGATGAAGGAACATCATTTTCATTCCTGCCAAAAAAGTGTAGTTAGACTAGTAATCAATATAGGTTTATATATTTGTTCTTTTATTTGATTTACCATCTGCTGATGAATAATTTCGGAAAACAAAATTTTAGAATTTCAAAATCGGGAGATACTATTGTTGATGTGTATGTATTCTCATCCATAAGTAAGTCGAGTTTTTTGCCTTGCCCAGCTTGAAATTGCATAAGCTTGATTTCTAATATTCGTTTTATAAAGTCAACCTGTTTTGCATCAAAATTTTCAATGGTTGTTACTGATCGAATATTTGATATCGTGGTGGTTATCTTGCGCTAAATAGGAAATTACAATATTACTAAATCAAAAATAAACAAAAGGTAGACAAATATATTTATTCTCTTTACAGCATAGTTTTCTTGTATCCACTTTTTAAGTCCATCAATCTTGATGCGGGGTGGAGGTTGGGAATGCGCTTTTTCTTTTAATCTATTGAAAAGTTCTCTATTTATTGGAGGATTATCCGAACTTATATTGATGATGTCCGCTTCTGCTAAACTGTTTAATTAAAGTGTTCTGTATGTAAAAATGATTTACTTTATTGTTGTTGGAAGAAATAGCTGTAGTACCTTCTTTCAACATCATTGTCAGTTAACTCATCTTTTTCTTCATAATTAGCCTTAATATTTTCTAGAATATTATTGATATCTTCTGAAGATACCTATAATTCACAGATCTTTAGAAAAAATAATAAAAAAGATTTCCATCAAAATATTAGGCATTCATACCATCGTGCCACCAGCTGATAAAATGTCTCCGTCATAATTTCTTTTCTTATTACTCTCAATTGAAGGTGCAAATTCTTTTTGTTCATCGCCTTCATTATCATTCAAGACCTAAATAATAAAAGAAAGTGTGAATTTATTTTATTGTGAATGATGAGATGAAAACACAATGAAGAATACCGCTATATTATTTTTTGGAGTTCGGATTGATTCATAGTCTTGCAACTTCCTTTTTCTTCCATTATCATTAACTACAGCCTCATCCTCCTTCATTAAGATCGAGCTCTATTAAGAAAAATGTCGCGTATAGCTTTCCAGATATAAACATTAAGACTAGCAAATAATATTAATACATACTCCCGAAATATAAAATGGATTTTGACTATTATCATTTGTTGCAGTTTTTGTCCATGATATGATATTTTTTCCAACTTTCTCCACATTAGCAGATATAGTATGACATGCAACTTTATGAGAATCAGCTTGTACTTTTCTCTATAATCAAATTCGCAAACTTATTAGTTTCCTAAACTTGTGAGGAGGCTCTCTTTAGTAAACGTAATATCATTTATAACTTACTTCCACAAGTTTTTCACGCATTTGTAAATAAATATCGATAAAACCATTCTGAAAACGTTTCCTTGTCGTCTATATAATCAAAAATAAGTTATTTTAAATTTATTACGAGTAAACAAAATAGAAGAAACGTACCTCCCACATTTGCTTTAGTTTTTTTACGGCTTCTGTCTGTTCTACTGTATTAAGATGACAAGTATAGGCTTTTTCCAGATCTTTCCATGCTTTCTCTGGTAACGTATTTAAATAATCAAACTCAAAATCCTTAATAAAATCGTAGAAACGCAGAGGTGTTGACTTTTCCATAATGAGTTTTGAATAAAAGGCAGAACGCGTCTTAATTATGGACAGAAATTCCCTCTAATTGGAAATTCATTTTTGATCGGCAAATGATCAATTAATACTGCCCGTGAACCCGTGAACTACTGTACTAATGAAAATTTTTAGAGTTGAAAATTTATTTTTCCTCAAACTCGAAAGGCAGATAAGTATTTTTCCGTTTCATTAAAGAGTCAGGTTTGTGCTCGGAACTTCGCTCAACCTTTTACAAGGCCCGGAGTCTCACCACCTGCCTGCTGTGCACGTGAACTCCGCTCAACCTTTCACAAGGCCCGGAGTCACCCCACATATGCTCTTTTTTGAAATTACTTTGTTTTTAAGCATAATGGTAAATACGGTTTTCAATCAGTTACTAAAAGATTATCAAAATTATAGATGTCACTAGCTATGGTTATGAAAGTCCTGCAACCAGAAATAATGATCAATAATTTATTTTTGCGAAAGTTCATAACACGAAATTAAGGTATGAGTATTTCTGTTGTGACAGAATCAACTTCTGGGCTTGCAGAATAATTACTATTCTTTTGTACAGATTTCCAAGAAATTTATTAGCTTCGTAGAGGGCAAGTAACGTAAACTTTCAGCAGGTTTTTGCTAAGGTTAATATTCTGGTACTGGGTGTTTCATATAGGCACTATTTGTATTCCATTTAGAATACAATATCAATAGCATATGAAAATGGATTGAGACAAACAAAAACATATATTATATGAAATTATATAATAACAATAGAATTCGATTTTTATTACAATTAATAAAGCAAAGCAATTTTTTGCACCAATAAATTTTCGTGTGATTAACCTTTTGAATATATCCAATTTTGTAATAAAACAATGTCGAACGATCAATTAACAATCAATACCTTGAGAGAATTAAACTCTAGGCTTGCATCCGAGATTACTGAACTTAGAAAAGAGAATGCCGAAATTCCAAAACTTAGAAAAAAATTTTCCGAAGTTGAGGCTGAGAACATCGAACTTAAAGCTGAGAACGTAAAATTAAAACAAACTTTGGAAGAACATGAATCCAGATTTGTGAAACTGGAGCAGAATGATAAAGATACTGCTGTTGAAAATGCTGAGCTTAAAGCTAGAGTCGCGAAATTAGAACAGAAGCAATCGCAAACCAATGAAAAGAATAACTTTATTGTTAAATCAGATGATGATGCCAAGGGAATCGATCAATCTTCAGTTAATACCATCTCTACCAAAATGAAAAATTCTAATGATACTCCGGCATCTAATATATCTGATAATACTTCAGACTCTGATGATGTATCTAACTTCGATATATGCCAGGAATCGGAAAACCAATATCTCACATCTCCTATTCTCGTAGGGCCTAAATCATCGGAAGACGACGATTTCCTAGATTCAACATATAAAGAAAAGGTTAGTAAAAAGATAATTCAGAGTATTAGAGAGAAGAAATTTCAAGTTCAAGAGAAAATCATAACTTCTCAGGATATTAAATCTTCTTTGAGTGTAAAAGGCGGGCAGGGGTTGATCCAAGAATTATTTACTCTAGAGCCGTCTCTACAAGAATCAAATATAATTCAAAACCATACGATTGGAATTTCTGAGACCGGCGGTCCCGGAAAATCTAACATTGACGAAGCATCGCAACATCTAGCTCAGTTATGTGATAAAGCTTTTGATGCTGAGGATGGTGCAAATAGAGCTAACCAAGAAGAAATCTTATGTTGGTCCATCTATGGAAAGGATTTCAGGGTTCAGTTCAATAAGATTATTAAAAATAGCAGAGGTAAAATTGGTGAAAAGAAGGCGAGAAGCTTACTTTATGATTCCATTACAAAACAGCTTTCTATTATCCGTAAAAAAAGATCTCAAGAATTGGGTTTACATCTTCCAGAAATATCGCGGGATGCTTTGCGCAAAAAAACTCAGAGAGCTGAGAAAATTTATATATTATTCGAAAAAATAGGCCATGATAAAATCAAATACATTAAATCATATAGTGCGAATTCCATTTCAAAGCTTACTAATGATCAAATTCAAGAGATTATAAATTATTCTTGTCAGAACGTCGATACAGATAATGTAGGACATCAAATTTCATCCGAAAATACTGAAATTTTGGCCCATCTCGGAAAAATCTTACCCATATCTGAAGATTCATCATCCACACTAGCTAAGGCAGAGACCAATATTGACTATGATGATGTATATTTTGATGAAGAATTTGATGATGATGTGTATTTTGATGAAGAGGTTGCTTCGCGATCAGATAAGGTAGAGCCAGGCCAAAGAAGTTCTTCGAACCAGGCGCTTTCACACGATGATAGTGACCATAGTTACAACAATGATTCTGAAGAAGAGATGCCAGATGAATCGGATGATGATAGATATAGTAGGTGCGGTGGATATAATGAATATGGTGAATCTGATAGAGGTTATTATTATGATTTAAGTAGCGGGAAAAAAACTTAT